TATATAATATTTCGAGTTGCATTAATTTTGATTTGTATGTGTAAAATTGATAAATTAAGCGTATGAAAAGGAACGTACGAATTACTGTAAAGATTTAAAAAATAAAAAATAAATCTAATTTTTGAATATTTTCTAAACGAATTTATGTCATAATTCGTCATAATTTTCCCACATCATGTCAATATTTATTTTATCTATACTAGGTAAAGGTAAATCATTATCTCAATATTTATTCTATATATTGTAAGTAAATCTTCTCATCTATCTCAACGGTCCGCAGGTAGTATTTCATACTTTTTAATTCATAATCAAATATACCAAACCTTCACAAATTTTACTTCACAAAGAAAGTGTTCAATAATTTATATTTTTTTCTTTCTTTGCAATCCATTATTTTTATTACATATATATAAATTATATCATTTTTAATATTTCACACGTTAAACATTTCAGGAAAATATACCATCCCGTGCATCGCACGGGTACTGTACTAGTTACATCAAAACTTCATGAAAAAAAAAGAAAGAAAAATCATGAAATCTATCTATCTATCTATCTATATCTATCTATCTATATCTATATCTATACTACTCTAAAAGGACGAGTGTTTTTGTAAAAATATGAACTACCTAAAATAACCTTACTTTGACATATTTTTAATGGCAAATTAGTAATACACTAATATATATTTTATTTTATATTTTTAATTAAAAAAAATGAATTACCTAAAAAAATTCTTACTTTAACATGTTTTTAATGGTAAATTAGTAATACACTAATACATATCATATCTTATATTTTTAATTAATAACTGATGCTTAATTAATAAAATACAAATAAATGAACAATACATTTCACATCTTCTAAAAATCAAACAAAATATTCACGCACCATTATTTCTCACAAAATTGCTTTCTTCCACATATCTCCTAAAGATCAACCCAACGTCAACCTAAACAACAAAGCTTTGAAAAAATCCTTCTTTTTAATATAATTTTATACATTATCTGACAAACTATAAAAGTTGAACAATTCATTAAACTACTTCATAATTTAAGAAAAGTAAACTCTTATATTTAGAATTAGAATAGAAATTGCACTTTAGTTACTGGATTGAATTTCGATCCCACAAAAATCGTCATTTGGTTGTTTGTTTGTTTTTTCCAATTTTAGTCACAAAGTGAATAAAATTAACGAATTTTCACTTGACCATTAGATGGTTAATATCAAAGTGAGTAATATTTTAATTAACAACACTTAAAATATATGGATTTTACATTCAATAATTAAGTAAAATATCATGATATTTTAATTATTATTATTTTATTTGAACCATTGATTTTCAAGATGTGAGCTAAATAAAAGACAATATGCAAGTAAAAAAATATTAAATTTGATGAATAACATTAAAAATATAATTAAGGTGTAAGACTTACTAATAAATATGAAAACAAATAATAAATAAAAATTTTATAACAAATAAAAGTAAACATAAAACTTTTAAAACTTATACTTATCGATGTAAATGAATCGAATTGTTTATTTCTTTTTAATTTTTTGTGCTTATTAGTTCTATGTGTAAGTTTTAGGTAATAGATAATGGTTATTTGTACTTTTATCCATGTAGCTTGGAAATTTTAATATTTAAAAAAGTAATTATTTAAATTTTAAATAACTTTTTATTTGCTATTAGTTTTTTTAATATAATATATAAATATTATATTACAATATAAAATAATAATTATTTTTGTATTTAATATTAATACGTAAAAGGTTGTAATTGAATTGAGAAATTAATAGGTAATCTTGCTTTAAAATAACGAGTGATTTCCATAATGTTATATGGACTAAAAAATTCATGTGCTTAATATATTTTTAATAAAAGAAATTGTAAACGCAATTAATTAATAGAAAAACTATAACATAAAAATTTTAATGTTTAAAAAGAAATGCAAAAAATAAAATGCTATATTGCAATGAAAAATCGAACGATAAGGTGTTCCACTAAAAATTCCAAAAGGACATTTCATTTGCATAGCTTTCATTGGAAAATATCACTGGCTATTCCAACATAGATCAAATTAAATTATAATGGAATTTTAGTGGATTTAATTATTCGAATTACCATTATTTATTTTCTTGTGTGAATTCATTTGATTTTTCTTTCGGAACATATTTCTACGTTGGAAATTTTTTTTATTGGAATTGTAAAAAATTCAATGAAAGTTGCATTGGAAAGCTAATTGTAGTGTTAGATACAGACAATTTCATATTGGAGGCACTATTTAGCTAATAGAAAAAATATATCATCAAAATAACATAATGTCATTACAATATATAAATTATACTTTTCATAATTTGTCATCTTTCTCATTTGTAATACATGTTTAGCAAATCTATACAGTTACAAAGTTAAAAGTATTTAAAAAAAACATAATTTTTCTCAACTAAAATTAAGCAAATCATTGAAAATAATATATATTTTAAAATCTGATGAACAAAAAATCTATGTTATAGTATAGATGACTCGACACTATTATTGATTAATTTATAAGTTATGACTAATTGATTATAATATTAGTGAGAAAATTGTAATTGTATATAGTATAATATTAAGATATACAACTTAAAAGTATCTTATAAAATAAATTATAGATCCATGTTAACTTAATTTTATTAATTAATAAATAAGATTAGATAAACTTGTAGTATATTTTTCTTACATAGATTTGAAATACTCATACTAAGAAAAAAGTGCAAATAGATGTAAATGTACAACGATTACCAACATTAATTATGTGAATTAAAAGAAAAAATAAATGAGTTGTATGTTAAACTGTAGCAGTTGTAAAATATATTTTTTGTGAATATGATAGTGAGTTGGTTACTTAATATTTTATCAAACAATGGAAAAAAAATTCAAACTTTTTAATCTTACAAACAATATAAAAGTACATTTTTATCAAATATATTATTACACGTAAAAAAAAAATGCATATAAATGTGCTCTAATTCTTTCAATAAATAAAATATTATTTGTGAATAAAATAAAAAACAAATAAAGCAACTGTAATGCAATAGAAAAAAGAAAAAGTCTGAATTTTTTTAGAAAAGTATGGATACAAATATCAAGAAACAAAAATATTTTAAAATTACTACTTTTTTGTTGCTAACATTTAAATATATATTATCTATAAGAAATTGGTTCTCATAAATAATGATTCCATATTATCATATTATAGAAGATAAACTTCAATAATGACTTCATAATAATAAAGTTCACAGTGACTAAGAGTATTAGAGTATTATAGAATTCAAATTCTTCTCATCTCAAATATTTTGACAATGATATGTTTCTCGATATTTGTCTCATTATCTGTTTTGTTTTGTTATTATTGAAGAATCAAGAAATGATATTTATCTTGAATTTTCGAAGCATTATGTATGGTGCAAAAAGTTGGACAATAAATGCATTAAATAAGCATAAATATCGCAAATCCAAACAAATGAAAAAGATATTATGATAAACAACTCTAAAATCATTGCAACAACCAAACTGTTCAATGATTTTAATATAATAGGTGATGTAGTTCTCTATATTCCAAATAAATAACACTGAAAATGAAATGTCTGATTCTGATCAAAACATTTTTGAATGTTCGAATAAGTTGTCAATTTTTGATAGGAATGTTTACAATCTTAATTGTGTATTGTGCTCGGTCATAACCACAATTACTTTAGAGTACATACTTTCATATAATTATGTGATGATTTCAAAAATTAATTTAGCGTCTCTGGAAAAGTACATGATTTTGAAAAGTCAACTTTTGTTTAGGGATGAAATTCATCCCCACCTCATGAGGTAGATACCAATTTGTCTATATGGAGAGAGAGAGAGAGAGAGTAATGTAGCAGTTTATACAATGACTAAAAAAATATCAAGAATTTTAATGACACAGTTGGTTATTTCACAGAGATATTTATGAACAATTAGTAAAAATATCTTATAATAATCATATAAACATGATGTTTGACTATATGTTTGGCTAAAATATTTCTAAGTGTTGAATAAAACAGACGTTTTGCTAAATTAATTAAGAAAAAATTTTGCAATGCTATTGATGTGTTGAGCTCCAACGAGAGTATGAATGTTTGTTATGAGAATGTCAAGACTAAAATGAAAGAAAATCACTCTTGAATCTACCATAAATAAATAAAAGAACTCATGCAGCTGTAATATACATTAGATCCTTCCTTAGTTATTTAGTGTTTTTTTTTTTTTATTAGGGACTCATTTTTTATATTTTTTTGTTGGAATTGTAATATGTTATTTAAATCTTTTTATATTACGACATCATTATGTTAGTTTAAAATAAAAAAATTACATTAAGAGTTTACTTGTTCTACATTTTATTTTGTTCCTGCAATGCAATCTTATGTTTAATAATTTATCTTACTAAACTTAATCGGAAAAAATCATTCGTCACCACGTGCATCGCACGTACACTTTACTAGTTAAAATAAATATATAAGACATAGAATGAGGAAGCAACAATGAGTGATTTGTGATTTGGATACTCTATTCTAATTCATTCAAAGTTATTGAATAGTAATAGTTTTACCACATTATTCACAGCAGAAAATCCCTGGCAGCCGTCAACTGTTTATTCCTTTTTATTTTTAAAATTATTTAAGAGTTTACTCCAATTAATCATTGTCTCAGTTTGCAATTAACAAATCAAATTTACCTAATCTGTTCCCCCTCACACCCCTTAATCCAGTCCAAAAACTCAATTCAAATCCCCACTTTTCATATTTAGTACTCTGCACCTTTCGCTAGTCAAAATATAAATTTCGAATGATATTTTTCCAATTTTATCACAGGTTTTTATCCTCTCATTTAGACCCACTAATAATGTATAAATATCCTAAACTACTTTCCANCATCACGAGGTTATAAAAAAAAAAAAAAAAAAAAAAAACAATAAAAAGAAACACAAATGAAAAATTACATTTTCATCTTCCTTGTCCTTTCCTTCAACGTCAAACGGACATCCAGCGAGAACGCCGCCGGAACCGTCGACCGGTACCAGCACATCGTCGACAAAATGGACGACAATTTATTCATCCGCGTCTTACTACAGCCGGTGACTCTCAACAAGACGAGAAGCGTGCGGGCCACGTTCATTGGGCTTTACCTCGGGGACTCTAATGGGCTCCTCTCAATCCTCGGGGTCCAATTTCCCAAATTGGGCCTCACCAAGACCGATGCAATCTAGATGCGCTGGATTGACTCGGTCCTCTTCTGGGCCAACTACGACAACACGACCTCTCCGGACGTGTTGTTGGGCCGGAAGCCCGACTCAGTCAACTTCCTTAAACGAAAATCGGACTATGTAAAAAGCCCGATACCTCTAACTGGCATACACGACCTATTTGACAAAATGGTGGAGATCGGGAAAGTCGGGCTTGTGTTCAACTCATACGGAGGGGTAATGAATCGAATTCCCGAGACAGCTACGCCGTTCCCCCACCGGGTCGGGAATCTATTCAAGATTCAATATTCGGTCAACTGGGAAGATGAAGCCGAGGAGGTTGACCGGAAGTACATTGATCAAATTAGGGAGCTTTATAGTTATATGACTCCGATCCTAGGGAGGCATATTTGAACTATCGGGATTTGGACATTGGCACGATCGACGACCCTAAGAAGAGCTACGAGCAAGGGAGGGTGTACGGACTCAAGTACTTAAAGAATAATTTCGACAGGCTACTGCAGATCAAGACACGGGTCGATCCAGATAACGTGTTCAAGAACGAACAAAGCATTCCTGTCTCGAGAAATTCCTTAATGAGGAAAGGAAGGGAGATTTAAATTCATAATTGGAGTTATTTTATATAAATATGTTTGGATATGAAACTGTTAATCCACCTAATTTGACAAAAGTGCAGCCCACAATGATAGAAAATTGCAGCAGCCGGGGATGCTATCTTTTGTTGAAAAATTAGTACACATATGTTGAAATTTTTGTGCACTTCCACTCTATAAATAGAGATGGATTCTGCTGAGCAAATTACACCAAACACAAAGAAAACACGAGAGAAAGAGAGAAAGAAAAAGAAGAAAAAAAAGGAGAGAGAAAAGGGGTGTGAGCAAGAAGCAAGAATTTAGCTTCTGTGTGTATTTGTGTTGTGAGTTGTGAGTAAGGTTGAGAGTGTTTTGTAAACACGAGTGTATTTCTTTTCTCCTAATAAAATATCTGCAGTAGTCCGGAGACGTAGGCATTATTGGCCGAACTCCGTTATCAAATTGGTGTGTCCAATTTTTATTTTTTATTTCACTTTTATAGATCCGACTTCATGGAAATTTCAGCGTATTTTTCCCAACAACAAGTATCAGAGCCAGATTGTTAATTCTGTATTTTTTTGTGTGGTGTTACTGTTCCGTTGAAAAACGTGAATAGTACCAATTTTGTCGGCGCTACAAATTTATCTACCGACGTGTTATAAAACACGGTAGTTCACAAAAATTACAGAAACGATCCGGCAGAGAAGTCAGATCAGAGTCGAAGTGATGGCTGCAGACGAAGGAAAAATGAAAATTGAAAAGTTCGATGGTGCGGACTTTGGCTTTTGGAAGATGCAGATCGAGGATTATCTGTACCAAAAGAATATGTATCAACCACTCACAGGAAAGAAGCCAGAGGACATGAAGGAGGAAGAATGGAGTCTCCTTGACAGACAAGCTCTTGGAGCCATCCGGCTGACGTTATCCCGTAATGTTGCTTTTAACATTGCAAAAGAAAAGACGACAGCAGGCCTCATGAAGGCTCTTTCCAACATGTACGAGAAACCATCAGCCTCAAATAAAGTTCATTTGATGAGGCGATTGTTCAACCTTCGGATGACCGAAGGTGCTTCGGTGGCACATCATCTCAATGAGCTCAACACCGTCACAACCCAGTTGAGTTCAGTTGAGATCGAGTTCGATGATGAAGTACGGGCTTTAATACTTTTGTCTTCCCTACCAGAAAGTTGGAATGCTACGGTCACGGCTGTGAGTAGCTCATCGGGAAGCAATAAGTTGAGATTTGATGATGTCCAAAATTTGGTTCTCAGTGAAGAGATCCGGCGGAGAGAGTCGGGTGAACCATCGACCTCTTCTGTATTGCATACAGAGTCAAGAGGAAGAAGTTCAACCAAAGAAAGCAGACACAACAAATCAAAAGGAAGAAGATCCAAGTCCAGAAATCATCGTAGTTCCCAAACCTCGAAGTCGATCGAGTGCTGGAATTGTGGGAAGACCGGGCACTACAGAAACCAGTGCAAGAGTGCACCGAAGGGTCAGGAGGCAAAAGAAGAGGCAAATATTGCTTCAGCCTCTGGAGGAGATTCGCTGATATGTTCTTTAGAGAACAAGGATGAGTCTTGGGTGTTAGACTCTGGAGCATCCTTTCATGCTACCTCACAGAAGGAACTACTCGAAAATTATGTTCCTGGTAACCTTGGTAAAGTTTACCTTGGTAATGAGCAATCATGTGAGGTTGTAGGGAAAGGTGCAATAAAAATCAAGCTGAGCGGGTCTGTATGGGAATTGAAAAATGTTAGACATATTCCCGACCTGACGAAGAATTTAATCTCCGTGGGCCAGCTAGCCAGTGAAGGCTACACGACAATCTTCCATGGTGATGATTGGAAGATTTCAAAGGGTGCGATGACAATTGCTCGAGGCAAAAAGAGTGGTACTCTTTACAAGACCACAGGAGCATGTCATCTGATTGCAGTTGCAGCAAATGAAAGTCCCAATCTATGGCACCAAAGACTTGGGCATATGAGTGAAAAAGGGATGAAGATCATTCACTCAAAAGGAAAATTACCAGGCCTCCAGTCAATAGAAATTGACATGTGTGAAGGTTGTATACTTGGAAAGCAGAAGAGAGTCAGCTTTCAGACAAGTAGAAGAACTCCAAAGAAGGAGAAGCTTGAGCTCATCCACTCTGATGTTTGGGGTCCAACGACTGTCCCATCCGTTGGTGGGAAGCAATACTTCGTGACTTTTATCGATGATCACTCCAGAAAGGTATGGGTTTACTTTCTGAAACACAAGTCAGAAGTATTTGAAGCTTTCAAGATTTGGAAAGCTATGGTGGAAAATGAGACAGGCTTGAAGATCAAGAAGCTCAGATCCGACAATGGTGGTGAATACGTAACCACCAGATTCAAGAAGTTTTGCTATGAGCACGGGATCAGAATGGAGAGAACCGTGCCTGGTACGCCTCAACACAATGGTGTAGCTGAGCGTATGAATCGAACGTTGACTGAAAGAGCCAGAAGCTTGCGTGTGCAGTCAGGCCTACCAAAGCAGTTCTGGGCAGAAGCAGTCAACACAGCAACTTACTTGATCAACCGAAGTCCATCGGTACCATTGGATCACAAGTTACCAGAAGAGGTATGGAGCGGAAAAGAAGTAAAACTCTCACATCTTAGAGTTTTCGGGTGTGTAGCATATGTGCACATCAGTGATCAAGGTAGAAACAAACTTGATCCAAAATCAAAGAAATGTACTTTCCTTGGTTATGGTGAAGATGAGTTTGGCTACCGCATATGGGATGATGAAAACAAAAAGATGATCCGCAGCAGAGATGTCATCTTTAATGAAAGAGTGATGTACAAGGACCGGCATAATACAAGTGCCAGCAACTCAGAAGCGAGTGGGCCAGTTTATGCTGAGGTGGAAGATATCCCAGACAGTCCTATAATGAGGAGTCCTCAGTCAGAGGAATCAAATGAAGAAAGTGATGTGCAATCAGAACCTCCTACTCCAGCTCCTGTATTGAGAAGGTCCTCTCGGCCCCATGTGCCTAACAGGAGATACATGGACTACATGCTGCTGACTGATGGAGGGGAGCCTGAAAGTTACATGGAAGCTTGTCAAACCACGGATGCTAGCAAGTGGGAGCTTGCCATGAAGGACGAGATGAAGTCCTTGATCTCAAATCAGACATGGGAACTAGTCAAGTTACCTATGGGAAAGAAAGCACTTCACAACAAATGGGTGTATCGGGTGAAGGAAGACCATGATGGTTCCAGGAGATACAAAGCCCGACTGGTTGTCAAAGGATTTCAGCAGAAAGAAGGAGTTGACTATACTGAAATCTTTGCTCCAGTTGTAAAGCTCAATACTATCAGGACTGTGTTAAGTATTGTGGCTAGTGAAGAGCTCTACCTAGAGCAATTAGACGTGAAGACTGCATTTCTTCACGGAGACCTAGATGAGGAGATCTATATGCACCAGCCTGAAGGATTTTCAGATGGAAAGAAGGATATGGTGTGCAAATTGAAGAAGAGCTTGTACGGCCTGAAACAAGCTCCAAGACAGTGGTATAGGAAGTTCGAAAGCTTCATGCACAAGGAAGGTTTCCAGAAGTGCAATGCCGATCACTGTTGCTTCTTTAAGAAGTATGAGTCCAGCTATATCATCTTGCTACTTTATGTCGATGACATGTTAGTAGCAGGATCAGATATGAAAGACATCAGAAAATTAAAGATGCAGTTGTCAAAAGAATTTGACATGAAGGACTTAGGCCCAGCAAAGAAGATTCTTGGAATGCAAATCACGAGAGATAAGCAAAAGGGAGTTTTGCAGTTATCTCAGGCAGAGTACATCAACCGTGTTTTGCAGAGATTTAACATGGACAAGGCTAAGCCAGTCAGTACACCTTTGGCCAGCCATTTTCGTCTATCCAAGGATCAGTCTCCTCAAACAAAAGAAGAAGAAGAGTTCATGGCTAAGATTCCTTATGCTTCAGCCATTGGAAGTTTGATGTACGCGATGGTCTGTACGAGGCCAGACATTGGCCATGCAGTGGGAGTTGTGAGCAGGTTTATGTCAAAACCAGGAAAAGCTCATTGGGAAGCAGTCAAATGGATTTTGAGATATCTACGGGGCACAACAGAAAAATGTCTGTACTTTAGAAAAGGAGATCTAAAGTTACAGGGCTACGTAGATGCAGACTTTGGAGGTGAAGTTGATCACCGAAGAAGTACCACCGGTTATGTTTTCACTGTCGGAGCTACAGCTGTTAGTTGGATGTCGCGGATACAAAAGATTGTTGCTCTATCCACTACAGAGGCTGAGTATGTAGCAGTGACAGAAGCCAGTAAAGAATTGATATGGCTTCAAGGATTGTTAGCAGAGTTGGGTTTCACTCAAATAGGGAGCGTCTTGCACAGTGACAGTCAGAGTGCAATACATCTGGCAAAGAACTCAGTGTTTCACTCCAGAACTAAGCACATTGACATACGATATCATTTCATCAGATCTCTTCTCGAGGATGAAGTGTTGACTTTGAACAAGATTGTAGGAAGCAAGAACCCAGCAGATATGCTAACGAAGGTGGTGACCATTGACAAACTGAAGTTGTGCTCAACTTCAGTTCGTTTGCTAGAATAACAGACCAGAGAAGACTACTGCAGAAATTGAGGTGTGAGGACAGATTGAAATCAGTCCTCAAGTGGGAGATTGTTAATCCACCTAATTTGACAAAAGTGCAGCCCACAATGATAGAAAATTGCAGCAGCCGGGGATGCTATCTTTTGTTGAAAAATTAGTACACATATGTTGAAATTTTTGTGCACTTCCACTCTATAAATAGAGATGGATTCTGCTGAGCAAATTACACCAAACACAAAGAAAACACGAGAGAAAGAGAGAAAGAAAAAGAAGAAAAAAAAGGAGAGAGAAAAGGGGTGTGAGCAAGAAGCAAGAATTTAGCTTCTGTGTGTATTTGTGTTGTGAGTTGTGAGTAAGGTTGAGAGTGTTTTGTAAACACGAGTGTATTTCTTTTCTCCTAATAAAATATCTGCAGTAGTCCGGAGACGTAGGCATTATTGGCCGAACTCCGTTATCAAATTGGTGTGTCCAATTTTTATTTTTTATTTCACTTTTATAGATCCGACTTCATGGAAATTTCAGCGTATTTTTCCCAACAGAAACATTTTGATTGAATAGTTATATAATGGACAATAATATCATTGAGTGGATAATATATAGTTTATGGTTTGGGAGATTTTTATTGAATCTTTTTTCCTGAAATATGATGGGTCATCAAAATTGACTTAATACTACTCTAGACAATTTACAAATAATTTAAGAAACATTTTTTTTTTCCCTTTCTTCATGATCATGATTTTGTGTGGATTTCTTAAATAAATATTACAAAGTTAATATTTTTTTTGTATTTCTTATCACATTTTTTCATGTAATATATCAAATAATCATCAATATATCAAATAATCATCTATTGACGAGCATCAATTTGACATTCATATTATATATATATATATATATATAAATATTATAACAATTAACTTATCTATTAAAACTAAATGAAAATTAATAAAACCATATGTCATTAAAAATAAAGTCATCATATATGGTATCTTAAAAACCTCCGACCGGCTAGAAACGGCTGGAAATTGCTAGATCTCGAGCTCGATCGCCGGTTGAACGACTTCGACCCTGCAGAACTCTTACACCCAATGGGTTTGGTGAAGAACCTTCGTAGCTTAAGTTAACACTTGTATAAGATGAAGTGCAGTATAAAAGTGTATAATAATGAATGTAATTCAGGGCATACCTCACTTCCTTATATAGGGAGATGATACCTTATTGTCCAAGTCGGGGCTCGTGAGCTGTCCCAGTTGCTCGTTCGTACTGCCTTAGCTGACCGAACTGCCCCTACTGATCAATTATGTTAGGCCACGTGATCATATCCACGTGGGGGTTAATCCCAAGAATATTTCTTCTTATTCTTTAGTCTTCCTCATTAGACGGCCTAACCATAAGACTGTCCCCGATAGCCTGGAGGTAGAATGCCATCGATGTCGAGCCCTACTGCTACGTCTACCTGGCTGATTCTTCGACCAAATATTCCTTCAGGTCGAACTTCAATCAAGCCATCTGGGGGCCCTAATTCGACCTGCCAGTATCCTCTATATCCTTGATGGGTTCTTCGACCTGAGGGTCCCTTGACCGGTATAGTCTTCGTTCTCTGTTCGACCTGATGACTGACCCGGTGTGATTCGGTTGCTTCCTTGGTTTAGTCTACCTGGTACGATTATCTCGTATCATCTAGTTGACCAGGTACGGTTCAATATATGAATTAAAAAAATATATATTTTAATATAAGACGAGTAAATTGTACAAGTAAATAGTATAATTTTAAATCTAAAATTAAATAAAAAAATTATCATTTTCACTATTTTTAGAATTTAACTACATATATATTTTAAATTTAGAAGCAGATAATCCACAGTGGGTTGCATTGAGTGTGAAATTAGTCAAATTTCCCATCACACTTACTGAAAGGCACGAGAAAAAGGGGTAGTTTATATATATAAAAATAAAAAAAAATAACTGGACAAAAATAAAAAAAATAAAAAAAATTGTGAACAAAAATAAAAAAACACGTATTCTCATAATACATTTTTTAATTAATTTTTTTTAAAAAACGTATTTTGGTAATACGTTTTAAAATTATATTTATACAATATTATTTTTTTAAACAATTGAAAAACAGTATAAAACGTATTCCAATAATACGTTTGAAAAAAAATTAATAAATAAAACGTATTTTGATAATACGTTTTATATTTTAAAATTAATGTAAAAAAATTAATATGTAGTACGTATTTTATGTTTTGGACTCGTTTGGACTCGTCTGAACTCGGAATTGAGTTCCGTTTTTTCCTATACATTGTTAACGAAATCCTCTATTCAATGATGCTTGTATAGGCAATTTATTCTTGAAATCATATTCTCCCAAAAGCTCTTGACCGATACATTAAACGTGTTTCGCGCAACTTTGCTTTTTGGGCCCGTTCGGACTCGTCCAAGCTCGAAATTGATTTCCGCTTTTTCTAATATGTTGCCAATGAACCCTTCTACACAACCATGATTGCCCGGTCAATTTTAGAGCTAAATCTATTTCTCACGGACTATATAAATACAAATCACCCATTATATAAATAGGTGGTCCATGGAAGATTTGTTAATGGGTGATTTGTTAATTATTTAGCCCCGTGAGAAATAGATTTAATGTAATGCCCCATTTATTTGTGATTTATTTGTAGTAATTATTATTATTATTATTATTATTATTATTATTATTATTATTGTGATAATATTTATATTTATTTTTCTTGAATGCCATAATATTTATTAATTGTCAAATGTGATTAAATGCTAAATGTGTAATTGTCTAATTGATTTTTGTGATATATTTAATTATTAATGTGTATTATAAAAATATGAGATATATATATATATATATTGTTCGGTATATTTTATCGCGCGTTTGCATTCGAAATCGAGCCCGAGAATTTTCGTTGGAACCGAAATTCGGCCCGAAGATGTCCGTTTAAATTTTTAATCGAGCCCGTGAGCCGATTTGATGTCCCAACCGACCCAAAATCCATTTGGCCCAACTTCTCGGGCCCGGCCCGACAGATTTTCTCCTCTTTTTCTTTCTTTCACGCGCGCGTGTGTGTATGATGTCTTGGACATCAAGATAAATTTTGTAAAACCGAGTCAATTAATGTGTACCATAATCTCTCTTCTATCAACACGCCCGCAGCCTTCTCATTCTCCTTCTTCTCTCGTTTTCGGTCGCGCAGTAAAAGGAAGAAGAGAGAAAATCTCAAGTTTGAAAACGATCGACTTCACCCTCTCTCTCTCTTTCCTTTCGGCTTTCTGTTTTCTTTTTCCCGTCAGTTTAATTCGATCAGCACGCAATCGCCCTCCTTTCATCATCGTCATCCTCATCATCTCGCTCGTTTTTCGGACACCACCACGAGCAGCACCACCAGTCGCTGCTCCCTTGCCGTCGCGCCAGCAACCAGGCGACCTCAGCAACTTCCGGCGAAGCCTGCAACTCCTGCGACTCATCTTCTCCGTGATCGCAAGCAATTCCGGCGGCCACTCTGTTCAGTCCCGACGAGAAGCACACGCCGGCGGCGATCCCTGCGCGTGAACTCCGGCGACCCCTGTTCGTTAATTCCGGCGAACCTGCTTCTCCTTTCCTGCAAGCCGCCACGGCCATTCCCGGCTCTTCCGTCGCTGCCCTCGATCGACGAGCCGCCCTCGTCCACCGCAGCCATTCGCGAAGGTCGTCAACCGCTGCTGCACCCTTCTCCTTCCGGCGAGACGCGAGAATCCGTCGAGCCCGTTCGGAACCATTCTCGCTCGATTCCCGAGAACGGTACCTCGTCGTTTTTTTTTTCCGTCTCGTGTAATTCATATATGTTTCGTTGAATGGTTCATGTTCGTGAAGTGCTCGTGTTATATATGATGTGAATTTATTATGTGAATATCTACGATTATATGAATTGTTGTGTTTGTATGTTCGGGATCTCTTCGATTTTCTCGAAAATCGAACGAGACCTCGAAAGTCGTGTAAGTCGGTGGATAATGGAACAATGTCGAGTCCTTGGTCTTATGAAAAGGCCTCGGACGATAAATTGTGTGTTGTGATTTAATTGTTAAGTAGTCGAGCTTGTTAATCGCTGTTTTGATGTTCGAATTTTTAAAAATAGCTCGCTGCTTGAAACGATGTAAAATTTTGAGGAATGTGTTATCTGTTCATTTCCTGCCTTGTGTAATATTTTCATAATTTTTGGAGACCTGTAGCTATTTTTAATAATTAAATTGTGTTCTGTCCAGAATATTGTTAAATGCATAATAAATTCATGCTTGACTTAAAGGAGCTGAAATTCGAATATGTCATGCCTCTGTGACTTATATGTGTTGTGTTAAATTTTTAAAATTTTTGGAGTTGATTTGATATGGGTAATATTTTATTTATTGAATCTGCAGAATTGTTGTTTGAATTTTTAAAAATTGGTTACTGCATCGAAAATTCTGAAATTTTACTGAGAGTCATATTTTAGGTGTTTTATCTTGTTTGTAAAATATGGGAATTTTTAGAGTCCGTTTAATTTCAGTTTGGATTTAAATTCGATAAACTGCTGTTGCTCGTTTGAATTTTTAAAAATAGCAGCAGTTATCATTTAAGACTAAAATTTTTATAAGTTGGCTTTGGCTGTATGTTGCTGTGTAAAATTTTCAGGTTCAGTTTCATTCATTAAGTCTGAGTATGAATTAATGTGCCCTTTTTGCTGAATTACTATTCGAATTTTATAAAATAGGGTATTTTGAGTTTAAAGCTTAAACTTTGTGATTTTACATGTTTCTGGGAGATGAAATTTTGTGTAAATTTTCAGAGCTTAATTCGTAGGGTAGCTTGACCTTCTATTTTCATGCGATTAAATGATTTCTATTTTCGAGCATAATTTTTTTTTATATGAAATTTGGAAACCGACTTGCTTTTAGTTTTGATGTGAATTTGACTTGGTCAATCCTTTGATGGGTTTATGTGAACTCCCTTATGTGGTTTGGTCGAGTTTAGTGCCGAGTCTTAGTGTTCCAACATCCACAGGACTTCACGAACTACTTAGTCGAAACGTGTTCGACTAGGTCTGTCTTGTGATTTTCGATTTATGTCGAGATAGATATTGATTATAGGATCTTGACTTAATGTAGGTGTCTAAGAGGTGTTGACCTCGCCTCGTTTCTGGATTTGTGATTCTGTGAACTGTTGCTGCTATCAGGTGGGTACATTTATGATGTATTCCATATTTATCGCACTTAATATTTCATATAAATGCTTTGTTTTGAAAAATGATGTATGCGTGAGAACCCTAGTCTAAGTGTCCCGTATGTTAGTGCTTTTGAGGATGCATAAACAGTGAGAGGTAATCGGCCCGTAGATTCGGAGAGGTGACGCCCAGGTCCGTATGATATTCGTGAATGGGAAAAACATCTCTACTGTCTCCTGGAAAGGATCCCAGGCCCGTAGCCATTCGGTGATGGGAAGGTTTCCAGTTACTTCCTTGCCGTGTGTGATCGGAAGGTTGTTGTATGTACATAGGAGGTTTGCGATAGGGCCAAGTAGGGAGTTAGACTGTTGGATTCTATGCATACTGAATACTATGGTTATGATGGTTTAAAATGTTATGCGAGATATACTGTGCGATAATGGTGAGCTTGTTGGTTATGCTCACCCCCATTATTTTCTTGTTGTCTTCTCTCTTCCTTTATTTTAGGTTGAGACGAGCTGGAGGCGGTGGCGTAGGACGAGCGAGATGGTGGTCATATGTGTTGAAAACCTATGCTTCCGTAAACTTGATATTTATTTATTTGCCTTGGATTATTTACTGTTTTCATTTTTTTTTTATCTATGTTTGAGTTGGTTGAACTTTGAATAAAAACTAGACCTTTTGAAATGGTTTGAGACTTATGTTTGGGGATTTGTTTATTTTGATAGCTCAAGCATGTGTAGGTTCTTTGGATTGACTGATTGGATGTGTTCAATTGTTGTAGTTAGTAAGTAGCGCCCGTTTCTCGATAAGTGTTTTAATTTGGATTTAAAAGAAAAAAAAAATATAACTCTGATTTTTATTAATTAATTCGATAAATTCTTTAAAATAAAACGGGGCGTTACATTTAACCCAAAAATTGACCGGGTAATCATGGTTGTTTGGACGGGTTCGTTGGCGACATATAGGAACGAAACTCAACTACGAGCTTGGACAAGTCTGAACGGCCCCAAAAAAAAGTCGCGCGAAACACGTTTAATGTGTAGGTCAAGAGCTTTAGGAAAATATGATTTCAAGAATAATTTGGTCATGCATGCATCATTGAATAGAGGGTTTCGTTTGCTATATATCGGAAAAAACGTAACTCAATTTTGAGCTTAGACGAGTCCGAACGGGCGTTGCTGTCGTTCGCTATCACGCGTCTTCTACCTCCAACAATGTTGGCAGCGGGTTGATGCCTCGCTCTGTGCGACTGTGTACTCTGGGTTGGGATGTAGTCCTCCTCGGATATAACTTGATTGAACGACGCCCCTTGTGTGACTTCTTGGCCTCGAACAGTCAGAGAACTATAGGTACTCTCCCGGATGAGTGCACAGAAGAGCAACATATTTGGATGTATAGAGGGTGGATCTTCTGTTGGAACATACGTGAAGTCCACTTGTCTGATAAGGTTCTCCGTCAGTTTGGGTGTTAGCAGTCCATCCCCCAAAATCTGATGATTAGTGGTGAGCAAGAATGGGAGACACACCACAGAGGCCATGGAATGACTGGGAGAGCATTTGGTGATCGGGCTGACTTTTATTCACTGCTTACCAAGGGATGAGTCGATGAAAGAGAACAAAATGTCCTCCAAGATGCCCCAGTGGATCACTTCCTACAGGCTAAGTAGGGTTACATTGATTGGTTTGACACTAGGACTGTGAGACTTATCAGTGACCCTACTAAGTATACGGTGGTCAAACAGGACGTCGGCTATCAGACAGTTGCCGACCAGGAGAAGTGCGATATAAGTGTTCATAATTTGTATTTTTTTTATTATTTTTTTTTTATTGGTGTTTCATACTAATTACTTTGAATTTTATTTTCAGACTCAAGCCCTGGAGGGGGTTTATAAATCGTTAACGAATATTCAAGACATATTTCTTACACTCCCTCCACTGGCACAGACCGCATTCCAATAGTCATACAACATTGTCTATAGTTATCTCACCAATAGTCCTACAACAATGCCTATAGTTCTCTGACTGTTGGAGGCCAAGAGGTCACACAAAGGGCGTCGCTCAGTAAAGTTCTATCTGAGAAGGACTACGTCCCATCCCAGAGTACACAGTCACACAGGGCGAGGACGCCGAGACCGCGAACGACAACAACGCCCGTTCGGACTCGTCAAAGCTCGTAATTGAGTTCCGTTTTTTCCTATACGTAGCTAACAAACCTCTCTATTCAATGATGCATGCATGACTAAATTATTCTTGAAATCATATTCTCTTAAAGCTCTTGACCTACACATTAAACATGTTTTGCGCGACTTTGCCTTTGGAGCCCGTTCGGACTCGCCCAAACTCGAAATTGATTTCCGCTTCTTCCTACATGTCGCAAACGAACCCACCTACACAACCATGATTGCTCAGTTAATATTTGGGTTAAATCTATTCCTCACGGGGTTAAAAAATTAACAAATCAGCTATTAACAAATCTTCCGTGGACCATCTATTTATATAATGGGTGATTTGTTAATTATTTAGCCCATGAGAAATAGATTTAGCCTGAAAATTGACCGGACAATCATAGTTGTGTAGATGGGTTCGTTGGCGACATATAGGAAGAAGCGAAAATCAACTTCGAGCTTGGACGAGTTCGAACGGACCCATAAAGGAAAATCGCGCGAAACACGTTTAATTTGTAGGACAAGAGCTTTGGGAGAATATGATTTCAAGAATAATTTGGTCATGCATGCATGTATAGAAAAAAACAGAACTCAATTATGAGTTAAGACGAAACCAAACGAGCCCAAAACACAACATACATATATTAATTTTTTATTCATTAATTTTAAAATTTAAAACGTATTATCCAAATAGGTGTGAAAATACGTTTTACAAATAATTAAAAATTTAAACATATTTAAGTTTTTTAATTATTTGTTTAGTTATTAATTATTTGTGAAACGTATAACCAAAATCCATTTTATTTATTAATTTTTTATAAAATGTATTATGTGAATACGTTTTATTCTAATTTAAGATTAAAACGTACGTTTTACACTTTTTTTTTTATTATTTTTATCTATATTTTTTTNAAATAAATCCGAGAAAAATATTACTAATCAGAAAAGTGAGTGTGTGGAGCAGAAAGAACAGGATTCTCCCGTCGGCAGACGGCGATCCGCAGCCATCACGGCGAACTCAGTGTTACAGTGAAAGCTCCTAAGAGGTTAGTTCATAGTCACACTTCCTTATCGTCTAGCCCCAATCGCCCAAATCTAAATCCCTAATACCTTGTGAAGTTAATTATTTTGTTGTAATGGTAACTTGAGAGCTAAAGGATTAGGGATACTCTTGTTAATTTTTAATTATTTAAATTCCTGGGACGGTGAATTGGTTCGGTGAAATTGTGAAATTTGTGGTGCATTTTTTTTTCCTTCCTGATTTATCTTTCAGTTTTGTGTAATTTGCATGATTTTTCAGACCGAATGCTTTGATGATAAATAGATTACATTCGAAAGAACTATGCACCATACCTCAAAGGTCTTGATGAATCGTATGCAAGATTTTCAGTTATCACTTTTTCAGGTTCTCATACTGTTATCTGTTCTGATAATAGATCAAAACCCATCATTTTTGCGCTTGATTTGTCAGTCGGATATTGAGTTCAATGCATTTGAAAGCAGTTTTAAATGAAATTCCTGTTTTTCTCACTTTTTGCAGTAGTCACTCATGGACAACATAGTCGAATCCTTGAACAGCGCATATCAAGAGTTCATATTGGCAGCCGCCAGCACTTTAGAGGCAAAAGAAACTTCCGGCGGCCAGAAAACTCCGGCCACCGATGCTGCCCTCGAAAACTTCAAGCAGCGTTGGGAGCTCTTTAGAGTTGCCTGTGATCAAGCCGAAGAATTTGTCGAGTCCGTCAAGCAGAGAATAGGGTCTGAGTGTCTTGTCGATGAGGCCACGGGCCCTATAACTAATAAGCCGGGCCAGCCCAGCTCGAGTGGTCTTCCGCCCATTAGTGCCGTCCGTTTGGAGCAGATGAGCAAAGCCGTTAGGTGTCTGGTGATCGAATTGCAGCAAGGGTCGGGAGCTGGAGGAGGCTCGGGACATCCCAGCTCGAATGCCCCTTTTGATGCTCGGTTTACTGAAGATGCTGCCCAATAGGTATGACGTGTGGCCATACTTTAGTATCTTGTTTAGGAAAATATGTGAAAATAAAATAAAAATAGAAAAACGAAAAAGCGAGAATGAAAGGAAGAAAAATTGTGGGTCACTCTGAAAATTTACAAAACATTGAAATTGAGGTGGATACATTATGCATCTGATGTTTGATGTTAGAGCAGATAGTGGAGAATATTTCTTACAGTTGTGTCCCTGGTTTTTTCTGAACACTACAAATAACCTCGACTATTGAATTTCCTCTGGTTTTTCAAATACGACCAAGTACAAATAACCAAGAGAAGTTGCTGCTGCTTGTAACAAAAATTTGAAGAGTGAAATCGCAATATATTTCATGGCATCTATGGTTTCCATCCGGTTAAGAACAGTTGGGACAAACAGTGGCAAATAATGAAGCCCTCAAAGGGGGTTTTTTGTTGGCTGGGTATAGTTTCTAAAGTTGCTAACATTGCCTGGGTATATTTTCTGACGCCACAATCCTCAAGGACGGGTGTGGAATTTTATCCCATTCGTTAATGGTGGTTTCTACGTGCCAAAGCCATGATGGATGCAAAATGGGATTTTTTTTTTTTTTTTTTCTNTTTTTTTTTTTTTTTCATGGCAAAAACTCCAAAAATGAGATGTGCATATATTCACGATTTCGAGGTATCATTTGGTAGATAATATGAGAAAGAAATTTGGATTATACAGAGTCAGGATCTTTGGACAGTGTAGTTCGGAGACAAATAAAACTGATTAGAGACTTGTGTTTTTTGTCCAAACAGCACTTGTTAATTTGTACTGTAAAAGGTTGAGTTTGTGTTTAATGTTTGGGGCAATATTAGGTTGATAACTGGTGAATTACAATTATCACTATAATCAACTCACACTAACATGACAATAACTTGAGTTTTAGTTTTATATGATTATTATAAACCATATGCCTCCCATATCCACTTTTCTATGACTTTATGATCTTCGTGCTTGATGTTGTTTTGACGTCGAGCAAAATTGCCCTAATTTCTTAGATAAAATTTCATGTGAAAAATCTGAT